CACGGGGGAAAGCAGCGAATTCATCTGTTAACGTAGGATGACTACAGCTTTCTCTTCAAATACACAACGGCTTCTGTAATGCGCATAATTTTTTTAAATTATTGCCCACTAGATTTTATAATTGCCCACTATTGCTACTCAATATAAATAATTTAGCTGGTGAATTGCCACCTACTTAAAAAATCCTGGCTACGCCACTGTATGTTTTATTTGCTGTTTACTCAGCTCATTCCGTATTTATATTCAACAAAGAAAAACTCGAAGAAAATGAAAGCCGTTATGATCCCGCCTATTATTGTACAATTGAAAAAGTCCATTTATTTCCGTTTACTATTCGTGTATTTATTGACGAACGAGGGGACAATTCTCTTGGTACACATGCTTTTCGTTTAATAGAGAGAAGGAGGCATAAAACATCGTTAAACTGATATCCAGGTCCCATTCAAGAACCGACATACTTAACTTTAGGGCTTGCTGATGGCACATCAATAATAGAACTTCAAACACCGAGTCGTGCAAACTTTAGTATCAAAAAACCAATCCGTCAATATCTTGGCAAGTAGCTTTTATCAAACAATGAAAAGTTTATAGGTTTTCAATATGGACAATTTGATTATTCCACTGCCAAACTATTTCGTCTTGATAAAAAATTGATTGATGCCAACAATCTAGAATTATGGTAAACATTTGTGCCAAAATCAACTGTGAGAAAACAAACAATATGAAATTTGCACATTAGACATTCACTTTTTTTTCTTAAAATCAATACTAGTGTTGTAGAAATGTAGTATGAAGTAATAAAAGATTAGCTTCCTTGCGAAAATAATCAATAAATATATATATATATATATAATAATGCTGTATTTCATACATGAAATATGTGGCAGTGACACGTCCTCACACTTCTTTGTCATCGACGACCTCGTCCCTGTGATAGAAAAAAAATCAATAAATGAATGACACACATAGTAGTATTAATTCTTTCTGCTTACTATTTCAATATTCATATTGACTTTCATTTTTATTACTTTGAATAATATGTCAAATATCAGAATTCATAACAGAAATAGATTATTTAAAAAAATAAAATATTCATAATCAATTTTCCAATATCTCGACATTGATAGATTTACATATTGTAGATGATAGCAATCATTTTATAGATATTTACTTTATACTGAATCATATGAAATTAAACTTGATAGCATCTACCATCATACTTGCAAAAAAAATGTGCAATGGTAAAATTTATCTTCAAATACTTTACGTGCCGTTATTCATGGCAGATTATCGACATATCTTTTATAGAATCGGTATGATGAATGAATTTATTAAAAATTTCGTAACAGATTACGATTTATCTATATACTAGACTTCATTGTTTCTATTTTAAAAAAGTACAGAAAAGAGCATATATTTACATGCGTCATAGGGAAAATTCCGAGCTGCACTAAAATCTATTTGTTTATGAACTAAATGACAATTTAATAAAATATTTGTAAGGATTTTTCATATTCATATGATTTATTTGAATACATAATATGCGTCTATGACTAAAATTCAAGCCTTTAGAATTTGAAGCATTAAGATCAAAACCATACAGAGGCTTTGAGTTTAAACCACAAGATAGTTTTTTGAATTTTTTTCATTGTATGTGCGAACTGTGAAACGAAAAATCTTATAAATTCTGTTTTTCAAGTTAAATTATTCGTATACGATTTAGTGTCATGTCGTGCAAACACTGCATAGATAAAGAATGATAATGCATTAGTAACTTTTATACATCAATATGAACGTCATCGATTCATGTGTCTATGTTAAGTTCTGTATGGACAACAAGACAGTCTAGTCTGTACTTTAGTGATTTACAATAGATAGTACGTAAAAAAAAGATTATTCTTTTCTGTCCTTCTTCTTTTGCTTAAGTTTTATTACATAAATCGACACCCATACAAATCTATCTACTTATTTTTGTAGTGACTCCAACAAGAAAAGAAAAAGATGCCACGATGTTGTGACATGTTTTTTATCCAACACTAAAATATCTACCCCACATCATATCTTTCTCTCACTATCTGCCCCTTTCTCCTCCTTTCTACCGATCGCTTTCTCCCTCCCCCACTCTCTCTCTCTCTCTCGTTCTGTCTGTGTCGTCCGCGTATTATGAATATAAAAAGTTTGTACAATAAATTAAACTAAGAGAAAATCATTTTGCATTGGGTCGAAATTTGATTTCACCATTTTTGATCTTCAAATGGAAGCATCAATGGACGTTGCAATTTGTCTTGATTGTACATCATCCATTGCTTCGTCATTTTGTCAAGTTCGTGATCGAATTTGTTCAATCATCGAACCGATCACGCGAATTAAAAAAGATATTCGTTTGGCGTTGATCGAATTTCGATCACGTGACGATTCTTGGGTTACTATTATCCATCCATTTACACAGTCAGCAAATACATTTCAAAACTGGCTTAACAATACTAAAGCTGATGGAGGTAGTCAAGATGGAACTAGAGCTATCAGTAAGATAGATGGAAAAAACTTTATTATTCTGTGTTTAGTTATGTAAATTTTCTATGTTTTAGGCGATGCACTTCGTGAAGCTCTGAAACTTGAATGGCGTTCAGAAGTAAAATTCGTTGTATTATTCAATCAAATATATTTTTCATATTACGTAGAATGATGGTCGATGGCATGAAAAACTCATTATAATGATCACTGGTGGTCCTCCGTGTGGTCTCTTAACTGATTCAACAGAAATAGAAATGAATGATTGTCCATGCATAGCAGATGATCTCTGGATAATGTCCGATGAACTTATCAAAGAGAATCTCACATTAGCAATTGTTGGTATTGAACCCAGTGTGATTGTATGTGATGACTTTTATGGGGCACTAGCTAAAAATACTGGTGAGTCATTTTATGACTACATGTTTTTTTTGTTCTTTTTACGAATATTCTTTTTAGGTGGAGAATATATTCCGTTAGTAAATGCTAGTCATATACTTGCTTCAATTATTCAATCAGTTATCATGGAAGAAGATACATTATCACAAAAATTTCGTCATATCGATATGAATGAAATCGAAAAGAATTCTTTATATCGTCATACATTTGTACAAAAACGAGCTCAATCGATGATTGAACAGTGTCGAACAATGGCTGATATTCGAAACTGGTTAAAAAATCATCCTAGACATAGTCAATATTAATGTAATCATTAGTAAAATTTATTGAATACGTGTTCGTATTATTATATCGAAAAGAATAAAATGTCGTTTCGTTTCGTTTTGTTTTTCTCTCTTTACATTTGCATATGTTGTGGTCAAAATTCAAATCCAGTCAAATTAGAAGTTTGCGCAATATAATCTCCGTCAAAATTCTAATTTGAATTTGGTCCAGGCAGAATTCAAATTAGAATTGTGTCCAACAAAATCCCAGTCAAAATTCTAATTTCGGTTTTTACTAAAAAAATTCTAATTTCGAGGGTGTGTGAATCTCTCCATCAACACCCGCATCCGCAACCACACACCCACACTCAAAATTAGAATTTTTTTGGTGAAAATTGAAATTAGAATTCTTTTAGTAAAAATCGAAATTAGAATTTTGACTGGGATTTTGTTGGACACAATTCTAATTTGAGTTCTGCCTGGACGGGTAATGATAATCGACCGAAAATTAGGCCGAAGCCGCCGAAGTAGTGCCTAAGAATTGAATTGGATATTACAGCGTATGATTCATTAGATATAGTTCGATAGCCAATCAAATTCTTAGGCATCACTTTACTTCGGCTTCGGCCTAATTTTCGACCGATTATCATTACCCTGCCTGGACTAAATTCAAATTAGAATTTTGACGGAGATTATATTGCGCAAACTTCTAATTTGAATTTTGCCCGGGCAAATTTTAAATTTGATTGGATTACATACAGAACATTGCTTAGCGATTGGTTGTTGATTAATCCAATCGTGTTGATTGTCCTCTAAATATAAAATCTATTTCATTTAATTAGTAGTAGTTATTTAGTTTTATAAATTGAAATTTTATATCGAAAGAAAATTTTCAAAAGTAAATCTATATTAAACCCGAACAAACTCAGTGATCAACCAATCAGAATGAATCTATGGAATTCAAACAATATATTGTTTATTTATCGATTGGATTTTCGTTTTTAAATATACGAACAATAAATCGATATGTTTTCCTTGTTCTTTTCTTTAGATCATATTAAGTAATTATGCCGCGCGTTCCGCTGGTATACAATAAAACTTATTCAACACCTCGACGTCCATATGAAAAGGAACGTCTCGATCAAGAACTTGAACTTATTGGTAAATTTGGTTTAAGAAACAAACGTGAAGTATGGCGTGTACGTTACACATTGGCGAAAATTCGCAAAGCTGCCCGTGAATTACTCACACTTGATGAGAAAGAACCAAAACGATTATTTGAAGGTAATGCTTTACTTCGTCGACTTGTCCGAATTGGTGTACTTGATGAATCCAAAATGAAACTTGATTACGTTTTGGGTTTAAAAGTTGAAGACTTTTTGGAACGTCGTCTTCAAACTCAACTTTTAAGACTTGCACTTGCTAAAAGTATTCATCATGCTCGTGTACTTATTCGCCAACGACACATTCGGTAGGATTAAATAAATTCTTCAGTAGGAAATCTTTATTATTATTATGTTGCTCTTAGTGTACGGAAACAAGTTGTTAATATTCCATCATTTATTGTTCGATTGGATTCACAAAAACATATAGATTTTGCACTCCGTTCACCATTATCGAGCGGTGGTCGACCAGGTCTATTTATTTATTGATTTGAATTGAATTTTGTTTTACTAATACAAGTATTCTATTCTGTTTAGGTCGTGTTAAACGAAAAAATATGAAAAAAGGAGAAAAGAGTAGCAATGATGAAGAGGCCGATGAAGAATAAACATCAATCAAATAGACACACACATGATCATGCATAACAGTTATAAAGAACATACATGTTTCTGTTGTTTTTATTCTTGTATTGTGTGTGTTATTATTGTTTTGTCGATTCGACTATCATCAAAAAACAAGAAGGAAGAGAAGAAAAAAAAATGATTGCACCTTCTCGACTTGAAGAAATAGTTTAACATCTTTAGTTTTATATTTCTAGAAAAGTTAAGCATGATTCTGGAAATTAGTAGATAATCATTTCATGGAAATAATGCTTAGCCGATTTGTTTAAGTATTAACAATGAAACGTTTTTTTTTATAAGCATATTATAGGGAATTTCCTTGTATACTTTTGCTATAAAGTTGAAAAAGAAATTAAGAAGATATTTATATAAACAACTTGAAGTCTGTAAAGTATTAAACACTTATAAGTTAGAATTAGAAATGTTGATTACAAAGTTGTTTTGTTACTGATTTGAATCCGAGCAGGCATATTCATGAGCTTCATCATATAACATTTAAATGTTTTTATGAATAATTGGATTTTATCTGGTTGATACATAACATTATTTAAGATTTTTTCTTTTGAATTTTGTCTTCATTTCATATAGATTACAATAAAAAGTTCCATTGATTCTTCAGATAAGCTATTCTTCTTAAAATTCGAGTGAGGTCTTTCTCTTAGAACAAGGCTAGTAATAGGAATATGTTTTTCGTTTAGATAATTAGATTTTATTTTATTATTCTTATCGTTGAAATACACACATGATAATACCAGGTGTTTTATGTCACTAAAATATTTTCTCTTCTTATTCGAGTCTAGAAGTTAATGAAAAAGTTTACAATTTAGTTTTATTGAAGCTGAGAGTAAACGACGAGGCTTCGCAGGGCAATGTCATCATAATAGATTACTTCGACAGAAATAAGCAAGTAGTTCGAATCATCTTGAGAGCGTACGGTGTTCATGACACTCATAGTTGTATGAGTAAAACAAAGTTATCTATTGAATAAATTATTATTTTAACTTGGGCTTAAACAAAGAAAATAAATTTAAGACTTCAGATTCTAATAAAGTTCATCGTGTTCGAAAAAAGACATACGTGTGTCCGATAATTTTCTACTTCAATTTTCTGTTTATGAAGTAGTAGAAACTTTGAATCCTTTGCCTCATTACATAAATTTAATGAACATTTGTTTTTGTCGGTCAGAATAACTAGTTTCTATGTATTTTTATTCTAGTTTTAGATTGGTCATAATGGGTAAGTCTCGTAAAAAACCTGGACAATCATCTGAAAAAAATAGTCAATCAAAACAGCGCAATCATGATAATCTATTATCGTCAAATGGAAATGACAATGATGATCATGATCATGGATTTAATGATGACGATGATGAAATAGATGCATTTTACAAAGAACGTGATGAAAATCTTCGAACCGCATTATCGAAAACTACCATTAAAAAATCATCGAAAAATAAGAAAAGTGTTTCATGGGCATTAGATAATGATTCTGACGATGGAAATAATCGAGATGAAGTACTTGCTTTTGATGATGATGACGATTCAATGGCAAGTGATGGCGAGGGTGATACAGAATATCAAGAAATAGAAGGTGATGATGATGATGATGATGATGACGAGAACGATGAAGGTGAAATGGATGAGGATCTCGGTGGTTCCTGGGGTACATCTCGTAAAATATTTTATAATGAAGATGCAAATGTTGATGATGAAGATGCACAACTAGAAGAACAAGAAGCAATACAAATTCAAAAAAAGTATTATGATATGCTAGGAAAAAATGATTTTGGCTTAGATCTATTTCAACATAAACCATCAACTATTCCAATGGATCGAAATCTTGATGAACAAACATTACAACGGCATATTATATTACCAGATAATCTTCTTGAATTAAGTTCAAATGAACGTTTACAGTTAATTCGTGATCAATCACCTGAATTAGAACCGTTGTGTAATGAATTTAAAAATATTTTTGATGATCTTAAAATATATCTTTTACCATTCATACAACTCGTTATTGATACATCATCATTAGTAGAATTTCATTCATATCCTGGATGGCAATTTATTGTTTCAATTGTTGAACTTTATCTTACCTATTGTTCATACTTGAGTTTATACTTAATGATGAAATCAACAGATTTAAATATATCTAAACATCCAATTACAGATGATATTGAACAATATAGAAAATTATGTCAACTAGTTGATGAAGATTTTCAATCAATGAAATCAGATCTATTAAAGTTATGTGAATTACTTCAAGAGAAAAAATCGAAAATGAATCAATCATCTACGACAAAATTAAATGAACTCGCATCTAAATCACATCTTATGATTAAGAATGGAATTTCATTGCCAACTAAAACTGCGGTAAGAGAAAATACAAACGAGAAAAACCAAGGCTACTAACGTTTCCATTTACGCGCGACAGTCATATAAAATTGGCAACTATATTTTCATCTAATGAAAAAACTGATTCAATACTATTCACTTTCTGCTTTGAATTTTTAAAAGAGTGCAATAAGAGACTAGAATAATTAAAAAAAGATCTGATAGAAAAACATTGTTTTGAGCTTGATTGATATTCGCTCTATAATTAATTCATACACCACAAAATCTCAAGAAAAAAGATAAATATTGAATTCATACTGACAGGATCTTTTTTAAGACTGTCAAATCTAATGAATGCGTATGTTTTATTCAATATTACTATTAATAAAGCGTCCTGCTATCACGTTCAACAAAAGTCTTGCAATTCCGTAGAAAAGAAAAGAAAGAGAAGTTCATTCATATTTTTATCTGAACGTTTTTATGTAACAGTAAAATTTAAACTGTTACTTTGCTTTAAAGCAATTTTAATATTTTTAATTATCGAGAAAAATCTTGTCAAATGAATGATTTATTAACAGTGATACAATCTGAATAAGTTAGAGACGATAATATTTTTTTTAAATTTCATTTTAGTTATAGAAAAGTTTTTTAATTGTTGTTTTTTGTTTTTACTTGTTTAGAATGGTACTACTGCCAAATCATCTCTACGTGAACGTATGATGCAGAGAAGAGAACAAAAACTGATTACTGAAACAGAAATTGAACCTCAAGAAGAGAAACCCTTAAAACGTGGTATTACGTATGAAATCGAAAAGAATAAAGGTTTAACAGTTAAACGCAAAAAAGAATATCGAAATCCACGTGTACGTCATCGTAATAAATATGCACGAGCATTGGTTAAACGTAAAAGTCGTGTACCAACAGCAAGAACTGAAGAAGAAAAGTATACCGGTGAACCGACCGGTATTCGTGCTGGTATTAAACGTGGTATTAGACTTAAATCTTGAACATGATTGTTTCTTGTTTTTGTGTTTATTTGTTTTTCAAAAATAAAAAAAAACAGAGTTGAAGAAATCTATTTCAAAGGTCGCAACCACCTTGGGCACAAATGGTTTCCAATGTTTTTTGAGCTTCAGTAATACCAGCTTGAGCTGCTTGTTCGATTAATTTACGTGCTTCACTATATATTTAAAGAAAAATATAATTATGAAATTTTATTTCAATTTCTATGACATAGTACCCTGGCTGAAGGCCCGCATTGAATCCTCGCAAATGAGAAATAGCTAAATTGTATTGAGCTTTCGCATGTCCTTGATCAGATGCTTGTTTAAGCCAGTATATAGCTGTTTCTGCATGTTGTTCAGCACCAATACCTTCATAAAAATAGCTTAGCGTGAAAAATAAAAAGCAATTGATTTAATTTTTACCATGCATATAACTATGTCCAAGGTTATGTTGTGCCTCTTTGTATCCTAAATTTGCATAAAAACGATTGACATGTAAATGAACATTTTCAAAATGATAGTATGTTGCATAAAGCAATCCAACTGCAAGACAAAGTAGAAAACCCTATAACGTTAAAGAGAATAAAAATAAAACCAAATAAATGAATTGATTACTTCAGCTGCTTTAATAAACCATGGATCAGGTTTCTTGCGACGAGCTAATCGAACACGACCATTAAATGGCAAGGATTCATTAGGTTCTGGTGTAACATCAAGAAGACGTCGACGTATTTCTTCTTCAGCAGTTGCCATCGTTTATTTTTAATGGTAACAATATACTCTACTCGCTTGGTTTTTTGTTTGGAAAGAAAATATTTTTTAATAGACAAGCAAAAAAAGTATATTAGAATTAATTTCAAACTCTTTTTCTTCTCATTTATTCTATACTTTCATCAAAATAGAACAAAAGAAAAACTCACCTGGGAAATATCGCGAGAAAAAAAAGGCAAATAAGTAACAGTCATACGATGAATTCAGGAAGGACCGACAAAGTAATCGAGAATATGTTTTTCTTCTATTTACTTATATCGTTCCAAAGATTCCATGTTTGTTCAGCTTTTTTCGTTAATAGATTTTTTTCTTTTCATTATTAGAGTTATATTGTTGCCGGTGTAAAAAATCAATATTTGTCAATAGCAGAATTCTATATATTTTACATAGTGGATATAAAGAATTTTTGAACAATCTAGCCAATTTTTGTACTGCTTCTTTGTTTATTATCAAAATTGTAAAGCTCAAATCCATCGAAAGAATCTTCTCTGTTCGTGGAATCATTTCTCTTACGTTCCTTATTGTGTTTAAAGATCACTACAGATGGTATCATGTAATTACTTTTAAGAATCCCTATAGAAATAAGATGTAGTTATCCTATCCATCGATATTGTTAATTCAAATTTTAAGTAAGTTGAATTTTTTTTTCTACCATGAAAAATATTATCCGCAATGTGAAGCCAAACAAATACTGACTATTGAAATATATTTATTTTTTTAATAATTTTCACAATCGGACAAAACTAATATATTTTCTCTTCAAATATCGTATATAATAAAATAAAGAAAATTAAAAAATATGCTTTTTGAAATTTCGATATTGTTTTACTTGGTGTTGCTATTGTTGTTATTTGTATTATAAAACGTTCATTTGTTGAACATATACGCGGACAATCAAGTTTCCAACATAAATTATTATAATATCGAAATGTATTTCGACATGTTATTGAATTATTTACAATTTTGTTTCCTTTTGCTTTGTGGATTTTATGGATGGCAGGCGAAGTTAATTTTGTTTGTGGTTTATAGGCGAAGCCACCACGGCATTCTTGACCAGTATAGACTAGTGATTTACGAGCATGTAATAAATAATTAAATGAACAATTACATATTAGTGGATTATTTTCAACGTGAATTGTTGAATGTGTAAAATTTATAAATGTGCATGGATCAAGAGTCTCAAAATGATTTGAATGTAAATAGATATGCACTGGCGAATGAGCTATTTTATGAGAAAGACCATAAAAAGCACATGTATCAACACTTGACAGATTATTTCCACCTAAATAAACAGTAAAACATTCACAATTATGTTAAGTTTTTATTCGATAACTTAAAAGAGACAGTCGTCTGTCACCCTGTTAAGATCTTCGAAGAAAGACTAATCAGAAAATATTCTAAACCGCCACATTTCAATCAGTCGCATCAACGTTTGTTTAGAATCTTTGAGAGTACTCATATCTTTCATGCACTCGATATTGGTTTCTATTTGAATAAAAAAGACCAGAATCTATAGAACAAGCATAAATATCCACGTTTTCTGTTTACAAAATCTGGCAAGAATCAATAATAAATAAGTAATGCTTAAAAATAGGAATACATAGTATCGCAATACTTTTTATTGTACGAATAGAAAAATTCAGGCCAATAGAACATACTGAGTTTGATAAATGCGAAAAATCCTTCAATGCGTCTGTTGGAAGACATATTTTCAAAAACAATGAAAGATTATGAGAGTTTTACTATTTTCAAGCTAAACTATTTCATTTGTTTAGTCCTCTATAAATTATTTTCCAAAGAACTTCAACGTATAAAAAAAACTAATTCAAATCTTAATAGGATGCGTAAGCAAGAAGTGAGAAATTAGTTAATTCTAGGTAGTACAGCAACAGATGGTTCTCTCAAATAATTGTTCAAATCAGGTCGGCATATCTATAGGATTAGAAGTTAATCAAGGCTAGAGTTGAACATTATAATTGGATATTTTTATTATTTCAGAGTATGGTATCGTCGAGTGAATGAGTTAATTATATGGATTTAAAATATTTGTTAACGTTTCATATGAACTAAAAATTTCTTAACTATCTTTTTGTCTACAGTAAGATCCTAAATAACAAAACAACAAGATTTATTTCCATTTACTTCTACTCAATATTTGTAACACGATGAAAATTTACTCTCATCTAATGAGTTATCTTAGAAAAATAATTGTTCTGACAAATTGATGTGGCCTACGGTAGTAAATTTTCGTTTCATACATAATTTTACACGCACAATGAATAATTTTCAAGGAATATACATACTGAGATAAAGTTTGTTCAATGCTCGGAGTGACAAAAATTCACATGAATTTACAAGATTAATATTATTCGACGTCATTTTTAAATATTTTAATTCATTAAGATAAGAACTATAAAATGCTTTCGTAAAATTTCCTATAGAATTATGTGATAGATCAAGATATTTTAATCGATAAAGTCCAGTCCATAGTTGCGCTGATAATGAATAAATTCGATTGTGTTTTAATTTTAAAAAACGTAAATTAACAAGATATGAAAAAATATTTGGCTCTAAAATTGTTATTTCATTATGTGATAAGTCAAGATGATCAATAAGAAATGGGCCAGCAAATGCATTCGGATGCCGTTGAAATGTTAAAATATCTATTGACGATATTTGATTATAGGATAAATCGATTCGTGTTAGCCGATGAGAAAAACCAAATGCATATGCTGGTAAATTATTGATATTATTATATGATAAATAAAGTTCATATAAACTCGTTGCATTATATAAAGCTTCAATAGGTATACTATCAAGAGAATTATGATCAAGATAAAGAATTGAAACTGATGATGGTTCACCAGCAAGTGATAAAGCAAAAATTTTTATTTGTTCGGTATCATCACGTAATCGCAATGTTAATTCATTGAGAAGACGCATATATTCATTATATGATTCATCAGGTGTGTATTTATGTTTTTCTTCAATATCATCATCGTCGTGATAATCATCGAAAAATCGATCTTGTTGATTATCATCATTAATAATGGGTAAATGTTGTTGATAAGGCAATGTATCGATTAAATGTCTATGAATTAAATTTAATTGTAAAACAAGATCATAAGAAAGTGAACCTGAAAAAATTAATTGACCTATATGCATATTAGTAGGTATCCATTTCGAATTAGTTAGATTATCAAATAAATTAAATGATAAATCAATATTCCATTCAATAATACTATTATTTGTTGGAATTGTTCCAAGAATCGGCAAGGATTTTATTTTTCGATTAAAACAATCGATCCATAAATTCTTGTTTTCAATGTCACATAAACACTGGCAAGGTAATAATGCAGGACATGGTTGAACATATTGATAGTTGGTAACAATATCAATATTTGTTGAAAATAAATAAGATGAACATGAGGATTTATTTAATGGATGAGTATGTGATGGATAATAAGTCATATTAAGAATAAATATTGTTAAAAATAGGCTTGATTTACGCAAGGAAAAAAACAATGACATTGTGCTTCATAATGTTAAAAATTTTTAATATTTATTAATGATAAGGATTGATTAAACTAAATAAAAAGAAAGATGCCTTTTTTAAATTTCTATCCTTGCTTTGTAGTTTTCTATCACTATTGGTGACACTATGAATGAATATTTTCTTATTGATATTCATAAAAACTGGGTTATCTCTATATAAACGATTGCAATGAAGTTTTTTCACACATATGTTTAAACTTGTACAATTAGCATGATGAACGATTCAGAATCAAAGAGAGAAAAAAGTAAAATATCGTCTATGCTCATCGAGTAACAAAAATAAGCAGATTGGTTAATCAAAAGACTTACGAAGGAATTCATTGAAACATTGCTTTTCTTAATATAGAATTCACCTTTTTACATTATGTAATGAAGAGCATAATAGTAGTAACATTAATAGCAATGGATTATTACCGTCATTGAACAAATGAAAAAGAATAGAAAGAAAAGTCTACTGAGAAATGACGCCAATGTCATTTGCTGAAAATATAAGAAGAATGAAAGGAAATCAAAGAAAAAAGAAATAAGAGGATTTCTATCGATTCCTTTTGAGTCTCTGAATTAAAACTATCGAACAATGTTACTAGGAAAAACTATAAGAGACATATTCGAGTATTTTCTGTTCTCTTTCCAATACGATAAAAGTATAAGAAAAAAGAAAAGCAAATTGCCTCAAGTCAAAATAGCTTTCTGATGATGATGATGATGATGCGAAAGAGGAGCAGAATGATAAAGAAAGGCAATATGCTTTCATTAGTTCCAAGCTGATGAGCTGTACGAATTTTCCATAGTTCTCGGATTGTTATAGACGTTAACAATGCTTCAATGGAAGTTAGATTATCTTGGCTGATCCAATACAAAAATATCATTAAGTCTGAGAAAATATAGAACGCATACTATTTACATATCGATATGTGATCCTATTGTATTTTATTGTAATCGAAATATAAAATATTATTAATTGAAAATATTCAATGAATAGTTTTTTTTTCGATAAGAAATATTCAAAGATAGTGTTGATTACTTAATGATCTACTCTATCGTTGAGAGTTTTGCTTGACATTACTGAAGTGCATATAGATAAGAAATTTGTTCAACGAAAGACTACATTGTATTCTATTCATGATGCAACATTAATCGTATTCTAGTTCTCATTCTTTCAGATGTTTCGTCAAGTTTTGGAACAATAATAAAGCTACTCTATCCATTTCTTCTTGAACATGAAGAAAAAGTGACATTGATTTTTTTAGATTGTAATTCATAAGTAATGCATTATTGTGAGAGTGCAGTATATGAGTATTATAAATCTCGGTCTCATCAATTGCATAAATTATTATTCATAGAGTTTAATACTTTTTAATTTTCGAAATTACTCACAGCAAACTCGACAGAGAATCACCGTTTACTAAATGTATTTATAAGATATTTAAATAGTCATAGCGACGTTTCAAATCAGTTTATATGGCCTTTTATAATAATAACATTGTAGTGTTGAAGTTTTTTCTAAATCGCCTAGAATAAAATTATGTTTCAAAATTTCTAATTAGAAAACGCGAAAGGATTTCCGATAAAATCATACGTAAGTAGCCTCTAATCAATAGTTACCGTCATCATTAATATGCCAATAGCTACATAACTGACCGAGTAATAAAGAATTTTCTATTCACATAGAAAATTTTCACATTTCTACAGAATAAAGACTTCTTATTCAATACGTTAATTTTGATTTTGCATTTTGCTTCTAACCTATTTGTGTCTCGTTCATATTAAATTTCTTTTTGTTTCAGTCTATATTTTAGTAAGTCAAGTACACTGTGATAAATCAACGATTACAATAACTATTGTATTGATTTGTTTCTAATCTCTGGCAATTTTACCTCAAATCTTTCACTATTGAAATAGGAAATATCTAAAATGCAAATCCTCTTTAGTTGATTAGGACACAATAAAATTTACAATGTTATTCTTGAATACTATCAAACAAATGCGATTTAAATCAATATTATATCGTTTGAAACATTATTACAAATTGAAAAAAATAGATTGGTCTTGTTTGATTGCGCTAGAACATATAATTTGTCTACGTTTAAAGTAATTTCATTTAGGCATAGAACTTATAAAAATATTTTCCGTAGAATATTATGAATTCTACTTTTAGTAAACAATCGGTTTATTAATTATACGCGAGAAAATTATGACTGAGTTTGCTTCTTCTCTTCATTTTTATACGTTCTTGTTTAAACAAGTTTCAAGTGAATGTTTAATAATCATGTCGGATAAAACCAGATCAGAAATCTTCGATTAACATTATTATTAACTTAAAACTAATATCATCAAATCTTTTGATTTTAATCAAGTATTAGAGAAATATTCATATTTTCCTTGATACAAAATGTATGCTATTGAAACAGCATGTTATAAAAAAAAATCATATAAATATCTATTACTCAGTTTACATGATAATGATAGAATGTTATTTCATAATTTATTGTATACATTTTCTGATAAATTACTGTGTCCCAGAACCAGAATTGAGACAGTCAGGTCTGATATGAATTGACTTATGACTTGAAAAACGTCTGAATTGCTCAGCACTGATGTGTCCACATACGTCAAAGTACGATTGTTTTAGCTCAGCATCATACTTGAATTATTGATCGTTTGCAATTAAATATTGCTTATGAAAATCGACAAAGTTTATTATGTTTGAATTTTTTTATAAACTCTATTGTTCAAATCATTGATAATTATCTATCTTCCTATTAAGCTATACAAAATATAGTTTTTTAAATAATTGTACGATGATGATTGACAAGTTCAAGTTGAAACTGCGAAATTTTGCTACTAATTTTAAAGAATATTAGCACACAAGAGAGAGAGAGAGAGAGTGCTTACTAATTTATTACTGATAGCTAAACCAGTCATCCAATTGAAATGACCTACCATATAAATAAGGTAAACAGAATATTATAAACCAACATAGATGATCAAATTAAATAGTAAAACCTAAACAAATTCTACGAAGACAAATTTCCATTTTTATTTTGTATTATTAAAGAGAGATTCATATAAAATAGTAACCTATTGATAAATGAAAGTTCCTCATATATGGTGCTCGATAAATAATTGAATTCAGTTTAAACAGAAGTATGTAAGTAAAAATGAAGTAAATCTGTTTTTGAAAGAATTCGGTGAATCTAACAAAATATTGAGTACTATATGTTTTGATCAAATATGTTCGCATTTATCAGTATCGCACATTGTTTGGTACAACATTTGCTTTTAAATTTAGATCCTTTTTTTAGTTTTCTTTTGTCTATAAATGAATCAATATTGAAATAAATCACAGATTTCTCACCACTATTGACTAGAGCAAATGGCTTGTCGGGGTAGACTCACACATAACAAGGGACCGCTGCCAATTTGTGTTCACACAACCTCTGAATCTGCTCCTATTCGTTAAATACTTTTGAGAATTCTTCGAGATATTTTTATAAACTTTAAAGTACGAAAATAACATTGATCTCACTCTTTTTTATATATTTATCTCAAAACAACTGAAAACTAGTCAAATATTATTTCCAATATTCCCGAGAGGCTTCTTTAATTGTACGAAGAGTTTGTGACTTTATTTCATAGAATAAGAAAATGTATAGTGAAATTCTCATGAGATTTAAATGTGAAGCACGACTTTACCTATCAGCATGCATGATGTTTTTCCAACTGACTTATTTTTTCACAATTTTTACTCAAGAATTGTTTTTGAAAGAAAAGCAAAGCACTCTTTAGCTTTCAAACTCGTCTTTGTGTAGAAATTTACTAAATCAAAACAATCTCACAAGAGAGCTGACAATATTATTTTTCTCAATTCAATTTTAACACGATAGATAACAACATAATTTTATTTTTTTTATTAAAAACAAATATTCAATTTTTGCTTCAAAACAAAAATCGATAGAAAATAATGGTCTCCATATGTTATATAGAAATAAAGAATGTCACTGTGTGACCAACTTGTCACATACTCATCTCAATCGATGTTGCTCACAAAGAAAAGATACGCCTTTTTTTGGTTGATTCACTCCGATTAATAAAAGTGCATGCCTTTTGGACAAGATATAATCCATCTTCATTTTATATTCTACCTAAGTAGACTTTTGATGGCATCTGAATCTTCTTATATTTCGTCTTTTTGTTAATAGTACCTGTTTGATTCAAAGAAAGGCAACTGACATGAATCATAGCAGAGTAAGCAAGTAGAAACAATGGAGGAAAAAAGACATGAATGTTCATCGACTTGCATGGGTTCACATGCGTTCCACACTTGTTGATTCAGCAAGAGATTGCAATTAGCATATTGAATGTTGAAAGAAAGAAAAAAAGAGCGAGAAAGAATATTGCTTACTTGCTAATAATTTCTCTAATAATACCTTATTGATCATTACTCTACGAAGAATCAAATCAGAAAATAGAATAGAAATGCATTAATTATTTCGGTTGACCGTAATTATACAATCATTACATTCAATGTCTTTCTTTTTATTCTAAATTTTGGTCGTAACTAGAAAAGAACAATTGAGTTTCCATTGCTGACCAAATTTGACAAAGAAAAAGATTTTCTCTTGTTTCACATTGCATTAAAAACTGATTTTAATATCACAGACTGAAGTTTCAACAATCCATAGATAACAAAATATAATGATCTTCAACGGAAATCAACATGAAGCGATTTTTGATCCTTAGTGTAACAGTAGAATATGTACCGTTGATATTCTTTCTCAAAATCTTATTGCTTAAAATATTTCAGCATGAGCTGATCAATTCTTTGAATAGCTTTTGTCTCGCTTGCATGATAACAATGTTCTTTAGTTTCTTTGTTTTTTTTAGTTTCATGATTCGATGGATAGCTTAGAATGATACCAGTTTATAAGCAGGAGGTACTGAGCATGAATGTTCAACGCATCGAGTAAAAGAAAAAAAGAATGAATCCTTTCTTCCGTTTAATTTTCTTTCTCGATTAACTTCTTCATTGGTGAGCATATGTCTTCTTCAACGAACGATTACGAGAAAAATGTTGCAAACAAAACGATATTCTTAAGCTTGGTTATAACACAAACTTACTGCATGCTTTAGAAACAAACTAAATTGATTTTCAAAACAACCAATATGACATATAATAATGGGGAAAATATTCTTAAAGGAAAAAATTATCAGCAAAAGAGAAATTTTACAGGTAGATTATTTTCTTGTCGAATTTTTTATATGTAATTCAATTACCTTTAACAGTTAAATAGTGCAAAAAATGTAGAACAATCCCAAATAGATCCTGTCAGATCCAGTACTTTTGAACTCGATCGAACAAACATTTTTTAAATTCCTAATCTGGCTTCTTCTAATTTCAATGAGATGCCTCCTAGGCGATCTTAGCAAAAACTGTACAAGAATGAAGTCGATGTTGGCTGCTACTTTTAGAGTGTGACTTTCTTACTCAGATGTGGAACCGGTACAATCCGAAACTAGGCCAACATGTTCTAGTGCTAAACATCCTAGTGATATCCCTGAAATCGTTTTTTTTTCAAATGTTACTCTTTTTGTTTGCTGTAAACGTTTCTAAGTCAGTTCCAGAAGGCAATTGGTCAGCTTTAAAAATTAAAAAAGATAAGTTAGCAGTTAAAGAATGACTGATTCTTTTTTTTAAATAATCAAACGATAGTTTTCTCTATTGTTTCATTTTCTCTAGGATCCGAAGACTCAACAATAATAGCAGTTTATGATTGCTTCGTGTGTTCATTACCAATAAGTGATCAATTCATTTTTAAAGTAAATGAAAATTATTTTCATTCATTATGTTTAAAATGCTGTGAATGTCATGTAAAATTACTTGATCAATGTTATGTTCGACATCGAGATGTTTATTGTAAAGAAGATTTTTTCAAGTAATTTAACCATTTTTTTTTTCGCTGACACTTAGAAATTGTTAATAAATAATCTTTTTCACAGAAAATTTGGTACGAAATGTGCAGCGTGTGGAAATGGTATTCCACCAAGTGATGTAGTACAACGTGCAAATGATTATTTGTATCACTTAGGGTGTTTCTCTTGTCTTATCTGTCATCGACAATTGAAAGCAGGCGATGAATTTTATTTAATTGACGATCAAAAACTTGTTTGTAAAATTGATTATGAGGCATTAACACAGAAAGGTACCTATAGATGAATTATTTTTCGTGTTTTCCCCTTCTAATGAATACAATGGCTTTAGAACTTGGTGATACAAATAAAAGACCACGTACAACTATTACACAAAAACAGCTTGAAGTTCTTGAACAAGTTTATAATACAAGCCCAAAGCCAGCACGAACTTTACGAGAATCATTGGCAACTGAAATTGGTTTAGATACGCGTGTTGTACAAGTGTGGTAAGATAAGATTTAGAGATTTTTTTTTCTAATTTTTCTTTTAGGTTTCAAAATCGTCGTGCTAAACAAAAAAATTCTAATAGACAACGACAAAATGAAATGCGTCCTTATGTAAAAAATCAACGAAAAACACAGCGAAGAACAATTGACAAATGTCAAACTATGCAACATGAAGACGATACTAGTCATGACGTTGATAATATCGCGTCCGATGATGGTAGAAATATAGTTACATGTATATAAGATTTTTTTGAAAACAAAAAAATGATCTATTTTTATTTTTACAGAATTATCAGAACATGCTTCAGATGATTCTTTATCGCATATTTCTCTTGCAAATCCAATATATTCTAATGTTATTTCTGTAGTATCGAAGTCATCATCAAGTGAATTATTAACATTCAATTCACCTTGCACATAATCAAACAGATTTAATGATCTACAATTTGTTTGTGTGTCTTTTTTGTTAACAACTCTCAACCACGACTATGAATTATTCTCTCGGACTTTGCTCATTGTGTCTTTATCACATAAGGAAATATTAAGAGTCTTGAAGTTCTGTATCATCATTGTTCGTCTTTACAATCAATCGTTAACAGACCAGCAATAACGAGAGTTTTTAATTCTTATAGAATCTCTATGTAAATTTTAATCTTTCACACAATGTCACTTAGTCATATGAAATTTTTCAGTATTATTCTCTTGTCTGACCAAGTAGCTTTTCTTGAAGTTCTATCTATTTGGTGTAATTTTAAAAATATTACAAGTCTACAAACTTGAACTGTTGATATTATTAGGAATATTTTCTTAATCATTTCTTTCTTTTTATGTGAATAATGAATTATGATAAGATGCATTTCGATTAATATAACTTACTGATGAATAACGCAGTATATGAAATGGTTTTAATCCAGACTTATTAATGCTGCTTAACGAAAATAATTTCTACTTTTGAAAATGAATTCACTACTACATAAACTATTTCTTTCTCGGTTTATCATTGAACTATCGTTTTTTATATACACGAACTTTCTTTCTTGGTTGGCATATGCATCGTTTGAGTTTGAAAAGTTCTATCTAACTATCGGAACCTAAGAAAGTGTAAACAATATTCTTTTCTGACAAAAATATTTCTATCTCTTGTGAATTTTACGGTGCATGATTGATAATGATGACGATATTCTAGGTGATTCTATTGAAATTAACTATAAAGAAAAACGGAAAATATATATTCTTTTTCATAAGAAGAAAAAGAATGATGCATGCAACAATTGCTGAATGCAGACTCAAATTATAAACAAACTTTTTACTTAACGGGTAGAAAAAAAATGACTTGTATCTTCAATCAATCATCGCCATCGTTAACGAATTGAATTAATTGTATGGCTATTAGTATTATTGTGTATCTGTGTTGTTTGGCTACATTACAGATACCAGCGATGGATCTAGGATTTCTAAAAATCCTCCTCTACATTCATGTAAATGAATGGCAAAAGAACTTCTGTAAATACGATATTGTTGATTTTCTTGCCAATGCTCTAATAGTCTTTTCAAATGTGAGTATACCTCGGAGAAATGGAAAGTTGAACTCTAAAAACTCAATTAACAGTCACGGTCGTATCATAACAGTTCTATAAAGCAATACATCACGTTTTGCAATCTTCTCACTGCATAGTTGCCTTCACTGTTTGATTGCAACACACGTTTTCTAAGTTCGCAGGAAAAAAACATGTCATATTGCTCTAAAAGCATCTTACTAATGCTTATACTTTGATACGACAATCCTGCCAACGTCCCAGTCTTTCTTGTCATCGAAAGGAGAATTCTCAGGAAGCAAACAGCACCAGTTTTCATGAGAATAAATCAATGGCGAATTGAAAATGGCCGCAGATGGTACGATGCGATTGCATCCTCCTATTGATTTCGCCGCTCATTTATTGAATCTTTACTTGATATAGATAATAATTTCATTGCTATTTATCCATAATAAAAGCACTAATACGATAAACAGAAAGACAACTCAGTAGTAGATTAAATAGCAAGTATTAATTTATCAAGTGAAATAATCTTTTTGTGTACTCAAAAAGTGAGTACACTCTAGAATCGGTCAGTGCGTCCGTCCAGCCGTAGGCACGATAACTTGCGAAAGGAGAGTCAGACCGTTATGAAATTTTCCACACAGTTCAATCTCATGAATATCTCGGTCGAGTTCGAAGATGAGAAGAATCCCTCAAGAAATGGTTGGGTTATCGAAAAAATTGTCATTTTTGACCAGGCCATCCCTGAGGAGGAGTACAGGGAATTTTTTTCAAAAAATAAATCTTTCTCAGAATTATTCACAACATATATAAATCGACTCAGTTTTTAACGCTGATTCCGAATCTGATATTAGTTTTGAGCTAAACCGTAGCTTTCTGATGAAACATCGCCTGAAAAACGTCTCAAAATGCACAAAAACTGCATCCAGAAACCAAATTGCCTAGTTTCTCATGATAATTTTGGTGTTCAGACATTCTAGAATGACTCATACATCCCATGCACTTTTTGCAGTACACATAACTTTCGGATGAAATCCGAAGTTTCCACATTTATTTTTAATTCAAATTTATGTCCGAAAGGGATACGTATGTAAACATGAATTCCAACACCAAATTCAACTTGTTCAGAGTTATTCTAACAAGAGATTCAATACTTAGTAAAACTAATCATCATTGTTTTTCTGTAACAAATATTTAGGACACCTCGTACAAATATAAAGCACCATTTAAAGGATGAAAGGGCAACAAGCTTATATTGTGTTCCATTACTGTTTTTTTTCAACTCAGAATGAAAGGCATTGCAGACAACAAGAAAATATCTTCTCTTGATTTTTCAGTCTAAAGTATCTGGACAATTATACCATTTGTATATTCTTAAACATGATACCGGATCAATAGTTACTACAGAATTGTTAAAGTCAAATTTTTGTGAGGACGATCGTGACGAGTCAAACCACATTTTTAATTTATGATATCGATAATCACTACTAACATTGAATTTCAGTTTGGATAAAACCATCCCCATATATGGACCAATAGGTGCAAAATTGGCAGAAATTAAGTGTAAAATATAACTATTTTGGTTAATCATATTTTGATTATTCGCTTTAAATATTGGTGATATTGCTTGCATATAGGTGCCGTCTTGTTTTGATTGTTGAATAGTATCAAAACGAAATTCAAAATAATAATTGTATGAGTCACGTAGTGTTGGTCGTTTCGAATACCATATTCGAATACATCGGGCTGATAATAGAAAATGGGGTTCTTTCTGTATAGCAGCTGTTTTATCAAAGCGTTCTAGAAATAATTGATAACTTTGATACAAAGATTTGATCACGAACGTTCGCACTACGAATAGATGTTCTTTTATGAGTAGTCGCGTCAGTCGTCTTGCTTCAATTTTATTATGTCTAAACAAAGTAATAAAATAAAATTTCAAAATTTCAAAATAAATCGCTATTTTACTTTCTAAACAGAGATATCCAAAAAGGTATTGTATTTATAACTTGATTTGCTTTACGACAAATTAATGCAAATCTACCTATATCTTCTGGCGCTATGTGCATGGCAATTAAATACCATAGATCGAATGGATAATCTCTTCCATGATAAGTTTTTTCTATGGCAGATACGTTTTTCGAAGATTTTCTTTGTGTAAATTGAATAGTTTGTTGTTTGACTACAGAATCCTCATCAGTCAATTTTGTATCATCGAAATCACTCAAATCTTTTTCAAACCATTCTTGTTCATCGATTAAAGTATCACCGAAGTGATGCATAAGTTGAAGAAACGATTTCTATAATGAATATGTACGTCTATTTATACGAAAATATAAACTACACCAGTATAGATGACGTTGGTATTACGCAAGGTATTTTGTTTTTACTCTTAATAAAAAACGAAGTTATTGCTCAACATGACTCGTATGGTTTTGTTCGTAAGCTAAACGACATCTTGCTTGAATGCAAAGTTTAATCGAATGAGAATACCTTCTTCGTTTAAATTTCAATACAAAGTAGTTAGAAAAAAGCCTAGCACAATAAATCAGAAAACAGATGAAATCCATGATGTGCAATACAGTATAACGCTTCCATTGTGTTTTTATTTTATTTTCTATTTCTAAAAATACTAAGGGATGTTTTTGAAAACAAAAAAAGATGAATAGACTATATCTGCGATGTTCACAGTCATGATGAGTAACATTTGTTTATCTTAATCAACTGTTTCACTTTTAATAATGCATGATCAGGAGCTGTGTGAAAAAGTACCTATTAATATATTTTAATAGTTGTACGATCGATCTTTATCTTTTATCGATAGAAAATTAATTTGAATTGTAGTCTGGTGTTTCTCAAAAACGAATCGGTGTTTTTCTTAAATGTTTCTTCGTCTATTCTTGAGAAAAACTTGATGGCCTGTGTTATCTTCGTTTTGCAAAATATCAAATTTTAAGAAAAAACACAAAAGCGTGTTCTGCTCTCCACTAATTATTGCTTCTATTAAATAAAGAACAATAGATCAAACAGAAACAAAAACTATATATCCATGTACATATGAGTGTGCTTGTTTATTGGGAACGAAAGAAAATGAATTTAATAGTCTTCAAAATTTGTTGATCATGTTGATTGTTGACATTCTTTTTACTATCATAAATACTAATAAGAATTTCAATACTGATTTCTGATGAGAACTTTGTCTCCAACAAAAATCATTGAAAATGAAAAAGATAAGTTATTTCTCAAAAAAAATAGACCTCTGAAAAATAAAAATTCAAATTCTCATTGGCTAAAATTTTGGAACAAAATTCATGTTTACCTACAGTCATGAGTCAAACTTCTGCCTGAAAGATAAAGTATATCTGAGCTCTAATTGACGTGTTTTGACCGACTCATGAAAACTTTACAGACAAGACGAGATTATATTTTCATAGATAGGAGGAAAAAAATACAAGTTTTATGTATTCTGCAAGATTAACCTATCTCGGTGAACCACTTTGAAAAGAACTGAAAAGTCTCTTATTCGATAGAATACTACTTGCTCTATCACTTTTTGCAAATTGAAAATAGAACTCTATTTGTAACTTCAAAGATCTAATAAATTTAGATCTCACTTTCTAAGAAAACATGAAAATATATTCATGTTTAAAACTGTGACTCGTCTACACGATATATACATTTCTTCCTTGACATATATACACATAATTCAACCGATGCCTAAGATATATATATATATAACTATTTCTAAATTATTGACAAAATATGATTGTTCATGTATGCTCAAAATTGGCTTTTTCATCATATTAGAGTATATACAATTCACACTCGATAGATGTCACTACCAAATCAAAGTGAGGAATATTAAGGCGTAACTAAGTGACCATTGAAAAACGAATGTCTGCTATGAAAGTCATCAGCTGTGAAAATAAATATAACTATTAGAATTCAATCTTCGTTGAATTCATATAATAAGAATGCCCGAAGATATAAGAAAAGTTCATGTTTTAACAACAATATCTAATTATTTTGGTTTTGATTACGATTCATTGACACGATCATTTGATGACCGTTCGCTGGGTAATTTTCTTGACGATGCCAATTGTCCTTTGCTTTCAGCAACACGAGGTCATAAAAAATCAGTTAATCTCTCTAATGAGGTAATTTATTTAATATTTATTTTTATTTTTACTTTCTAAATTGTTTTAACGTAAGGTCAAAGTAACCGAAGGTGCACAGTGTCTTGTTCAATTCAAACTTCGACCTGATGTTATAACGCCAGAAAATGTTCATACAAATATTTTTTTATCATCCATGGTCGATTCGCCGTTAGATTCTCTTTATTATATGATTAAATCTGTGTTTACGCCTGCATTACGCGATAGTAAATCTAGTGTATCTGCGAATCAACAAATTCAAACATCATTAAGTGAACTGGAAGAAATTTTACGCGCAGTAGGAAAAAAACTTGATGGTAGTTCATCAATAGCAAGTATATTTCATCCGAAAGATGAGATCTATTATTGGAAAGAAAATGCACAAAATAAATCAAATAAATCCAAAGATATTCAACAAGCGAAATATTTTCTCGAATTATTTGATCCGATTAAAGTAGATTTTGATAAACTTGAAGAGTAAATACTTCAAAAAAAAAAACTTGATGAAATATTTTGAATATATTTTAATTTTTAGTTTAACTCTCATTGAGCTGGTCGAAGTTGTTGATAGAACAAAAGGTAATATCTTCAAACAGCTAACGAATTTGTCCAATGTTCAATCAATTTTCACTCGAAACTAAGTGTATCATAAAAATACTAATGACCCATGCATATTATCTGAAATTCGTCAGCTGTTAATATCTTGCTATTGAGATATTGAATTATTAGGATCGTTTTTAATTCAACTGCTCTCTTATGTGTGCATCGTAAGCAACAGTAAATAGCAATTATATGTTATAAAAACGTCATATCATTTATCGATTCGTATTCTAAGATTTGGCTACAACAGTCATATGTATCTTATAGAGTTCGCGTACATTGGAAATGTTTATTACATATTAGCTTTTCATAACAAAAACAGATAGTTTTTCAAATTGAAATGCAACATTCAATATTCCTATGTTTCTGCTTCAGTTGCGTATTGAGATTCTTCACCAAAAAATGCTAATGTGCTCATATAATGTTTTGGACGATCGTGTAGAAAGGTAAATTATAAATGAAACTGATAATTCGACTGTGATTTGTTTCTAATGAAAGCAAGGCTATTCTTCAAAGGAGCGAATTCAAACACAGTTTAGTGAAAGATTTTCGGAATCAAACAATCCAGATTTACGAAGGTATCATCAATATTCTTAGTTTTCATTTATTGATTAATTGAGATTCATTTTTGAAACAGCGATACATTTTATAAAGTCTTACTGAGTTTCGTTAAGTAAACTATATAGTCCAAGATAACGAACATAAAAATGTCAACAAAACATTTGTAGTTTAAGACTCTGCACGCTCGAAAATATGTTGATGAATTTCAAAAAGATTTAGTATTAGTTCATATTAATCTGTGTATTCATCAAAAAGTTGATTCGTAATAATGCAAATCTCATTCTTAATCGTAAAGTTAACATTTAATCTAATTTTTTGTCGAAATACCTATGAACATTATCATAAAGTACTGGTATCACAAGCTACTGTCGAATGCAAATCTACTTATTCCGCGTGAATTCAATATCTCGATTTCAATCAGCCGCTATCTCAAACCCTTTTGAACAACATCTATAGTTCATTACATTTGACCTAATGTTCATGATTTCGAGTGAAAATCTATTGCATGGTCGAAAGAAAACGTTCACAATATTGATTTACTGACTAAATAATTTACAAAGTTTTCTTTTCTTTTATAGACGTTTATGATGAATTGTGGAAACAAGTTGAACATGAAGAATATTCTGAGCAACGCATGAAACATTTGTTAACAATAACATCGAATGCTTTTGTTCAATCCATTCAAAAACAACTATCCAATATTAATTTATGGTCTGATTCAAAAGATTCAATAAAAAATCGTGAATATTTACGTACTAGCGCTACTATATGTGAACAATGGTCACTTGCTGTTGAACAATTAACAGGTATTTATTGGCGTAATTATAATCCGCATCCATGGAAAGGTGAATCATTTAAAGCTACATATTTACTTCAATTTAAAAAACGACTTATTGAAATAATAAGTATTCGTTCAACTTATGAACAAAGTATACGATTTAGTTCATCAGCAAATAAAGAAAATTTATCAACGAAAAAAGTGTTCTTACCATTTACTAGTCTTAATGCATTCCAAATTGATTCGTATGCAGATGCTCAATGGCATTCAGCAATGAATCAATTTGAAAATCTAATGACAACTACAGATCGAGACGTTGCCAAACAATTACGTGACCATTTTCAAATGATACGTTCAAATCCTCAACAGATGTTAGTCGATTTCAAACGTTATAGTGATTTAATTCAACGTGAAACCATTCGAAAAGAATTAGCATCAGAACGAGAATTACTGTTAGGACAATTAGAAAGTGATATAAGAACATTAACCGACGAATTTAATAATTTAACAAATGGACGAATAGGTGTTGGAGGAAAAAAATCCATAACAAGAGGTGTCAATCGAACAGTAATTGCAGGATTACTTGATGCAAGTCGACAAATTGAAACAAAAGTAAATTTACATCTTTTTTAAAATTTACAATTGAAATTTTTATTAAGGTTAATAATATTATTAATGATGGAGAAAAAATATTAGGTGATTTATCGGGCTATGCACGTGTTTCTTCACTTGCAAAACAACTTAAGCAAGATTTGATTAATTGGCGAAAAGATAAATTTCGAGAATGGTGTCAAGATACTATACGCGCAATTGATGATCGATCACAAGAATTAAGGTTTTACTTTTACTAGATTTATTCTTTTTTCGATTCACAGTATCTCAGTAACGAAACGACGATGAACATCATTGGTAGTAAATGTTAGACTGTTTTAAATCTTTCTTGAAATTCCAAGGAGAGAGATAAGTTGATGTATGTTATAATTAGTGCAGTTCCTTAGTTTGACATAGATAAATGATTTCGTTCGAGATCATAATGATCATTTGATTGTATCTGAGCGATTCACCACGATCCCTCTATGACAAATAGGAAATATATTGCAGTGATCAAGTGTTACCACTGAAGATTATCATGAACAAGAAGGTGATTGCAACGACATACATAATAATACATCGCAAACTTAAAATAGAT